GTTATCACAACGTGGTTGATGTAGCCGTACGTCTTCACGACTCGATCGATCCAAGTACCGAACGTACGGCACCTCCGTGTTCAGCACACGTTCAGCTCGATGACGTTCCCCGGGCTCCAATCCAGCAAAGCGTCGGGGATGAGTTCCGTCAGCACGATGGCGTGGTGACGATGATGATGTTCTACCGGCGCAGGGCTTCGCCTAAACTCCACGACGATATGACCGAGGTGGAATATGGTGGAGGGGGGCACCGCACACGGCTAAGGAACGATCCGTAGATCAACTTGTGTGTCCTAGGGTGCCCCACTGTCCCCATATATAAAGGAGCAAGGGGGGAGGCCGGCCGGCCCCTTGGGGCGCGCCAAGGAGGAGGAGTCCTCCTCCTAGTAGGAGTAGGACTCCCCCTTTCCTACTCCTACTAGGAGGGGGAAAGGAAGGGGGAGAGGGGGAAGGAAAGAGGGGGGCGCCGCCCCCCCTCCTAGTCCAATTCGGACCAGAGGGAGAGGGGGCGCGCGGCCCACCCTGGCCGCCCCTCTCTCTTCCCACTAAGGCCCATGTGGCCCATTAACTCTCCCGGGGGGGTTCCGGTAACCCTCCGGCACTCCAGTTTTCTCCGAAATCACCCGGAACACTTCCGGTGTCCGAATATAGTCGTCCAATATATCAATCTTTATGTCTCGACCATTTCGAGACTCCTCGTCATGTCCGTGATCACATCCGGGACTCCGAAAAAACTTCGGTACATCAAAACTTATAAACTCATAATAAAACTATCATCGTAACGTTAAGCGTGCGGACCCTACGGGTTCGAGAACTATGTAGACATGACCTAGAACTATTCTCGGTCAATAACCAATAGTGGAACCTGGATGTTCATATTGGTTCCTACATATTCTACGAAGATCTTTATCGGTCAAATCGCATAACAACATACGTTGTTCCCGTTGTCTTCGGTATGTTACTTGCCCGAGATTCGATCATCGGTATCCAATACCTAGTTCAATATCGTTACCGGCAAGTCTCTTTACTCGTTACGTAATACATCATTTCATAACTAACTCATTAGTTACAATGCTTGCAAGGCTTAAGTGATGAGTATTACCGAGAGGGCCCAGAGATACCTCTCCGACAATCGGAGTGACAAAACCTAATCTCGAATTATGCCAACTCAACATGTACCTTTGGAGACACCTGTAGAGCACCTTTATAATCACCCAGTTACGTTGTGACGTTTGGTAGCACACAAAGTGTTCCTCCGGTAAACGGGAGTTGCACAATCTCATAGTTGTAGGAACTTTGTATAAGTCATGAAGAAAGCAATAGCAACATACTAAATGATCAAGTGCTAAGCTAACGGAATGGGTCAAGTCAATCACAACATTCTCCTAATGATGTGATCCCATTAATCAAATGACAACACATGTCTATGGTTAGGAAACATAACCATCTTTGATTAATGAGCTAGTCAAGTAGAGGCATACTAGTGACACTATGTTTGTCTATGTATTCACACATGTATCATGTTTCCGGTTAATACAATTCTAGCATGAATAATAAACATTTATCATGATACGAGGAAATAAATAATAACTTTATTATTGCCTCTAGGGCATATTTCCTTCAAAAAGATGTGGGGATTTATATTCCAAGGGGGGAGGGGCAAGGATGTACCGCCCACCTGAATAGGCGGTTTCTCCTTTCCCCTTGCGGAATACAAGTCCCGGTGTCTTTTGCACCTAGCTTTAAGGACGCTGACACCACCCACCACAACTATTTCTTCATCGAAGTAGTCTCATCACTTTGAGGTTTTGCGACGAACCCTTTTTGTACCAATGGTGTTGGAGAAAGTGCTGGCAGTAGTGGAATGGGTGTCGGTTTGTGACTGTGTATTCTCGTTGCTAGTGGTATTTTGTACGCTGGGATCGACAAACTCAGTTATGTGAATATCGAGATCACTTGCATTGAAGTTGCACTGCTTGGGATCATCCATGTTTAAGTGTAGGAAATGAGACGGGCTTGAGGGAATCTCTGATAGAAGATCTAGATGTAAAAATACCTAATTTTTACATCTCCAGAGCCCCAAAACACTTCTCCATCAGATGATGTAGACGCAAAAATATTTACATCTCTGCCTCCCGGAATGTAAACTACGAAACTTCACGGTGCAAATATACATCTCCACCTACAGGAGATGTATATTTGCCAGCCGCATGCCAACCGCCAATCGTCGTTTCCTTTCACTCCCCCCTTCTTCCTCTCACCTCCCACCTCCCGCCACACCGCCACCGCCGCCTGCCTGCCCACCACGCACACCGCAGCCGCCCAGTGCCAGATTTGGCCCCGCTGTCGCCCCCAGTGCCGGTTCCGACTCTCCTCCGTCGCCGGCCGCCGCTCGGTGTCGTGAATCATTGGTTTTTTCTCCTCTTCTCCTCGTCGCTGATTCGGCCCCGACGCTGCTCCTCCGCTGGCCCCAATCCGTCGCCGCCACATGTCGTGTTTCCGCCACTCCCGACGCCGTTGACGACCTCGTGCTACCCGATTCAACCCCGTTACCGCCTCGTCGCCGCACCGCCTCGCCCCATCGTTGCAACCTCCACCGCACCACCCCGTCACCGCAACCTCTGCCGCACCGCCCTGCCTCATCGCCGCAACCTCTGTAGCATCGCCCTGCCTCGTCGTCGCACCGCCCCGCCCCACCGTCGCCATGCCGCCGAGGAAGGCCCCGAAGAGCAAGACAGGGTTCTTCGGCACGAGGGCGAAGCCCTCCGGCAACTTCAGGGTGGAGTTCAGTGACGCCGGCCATCGCTTTTGACTCGACACCTACCCCACCGTCCACAAGGCCGCGCGTGTCTATGACGTGGCAGTGTGGCGTGCCGGGAGGCCGAGGAACGACCTCAACTTCCCGGAGATCGAGACCCAGGCGGATGCGGAGTTGCTCATGCCGAGAGGCATTCACATGGAGGAGATCACGACAAAGAAGATGAAGAAGAGGCCCACCATTGATTAGTCCCGGCGATAGCAGCAAGGCGGTGATGGCGAGGTTCGTGCGTGAGCATCCAGAGCATGTGCAGGCTGAGCAGGAGTTCTTCTGGAAGCGCGACGCGGAGAAGAAGAAGAAGAAGAAGAAGAAGAAGAAGAAGAAGAAGGATGAGGCAGGCCCCTCGACGGTGATCCCCGTTGAGTCTGACTCGTTGGATTGGGGTGAATCGGAGGAGGAGGACGAGGGGTGCGATGACCTGGACAAGGATGAGTTATGGGCGCAGTTTTCACACCTTCCGATGATGAGTAGTTTTATTATCTTCAGTGTAGTTCAAGTAGTAGTTTGAAGTACTAGTAGTAGTAGTAACTTGATGAATGTAGTAGTTTGAATTAGTTGAAGTAGTAGTTGAATTATGTTTAATTGTGTTTAGAACTATGCTTAATTATGTTTGAAATGAAGTAGTAGTAGTTGAATGAGAGTGGATTTTTGGAACCCGGGTGTATTGGAGGACCTTATTTTAAATACATTGAAAACCACATTTAAGGTTTAAAAAAATCTGAAAAAAATTCTACGTGATCATATGGATGTATATTACACATGTGTAAAGTTTGGTGATAAAATAAGTAAATATGCGACCTATACAAAAATGACAAAATGGTGATTTCCAAATAGTGAATAATGCATGCACTGTTCATCTTTCCAAAATCACGATTTTATCATTTTTGTGTAACTCACATGGTTACTTATTTCAGCATCAAAAGTTACACATGTGTAATATACATTCATATAAATATGTTGATTCGTTTTCAGAATTTTTTGAAACTTCAAAACAACATTTTGGCACAGTTCAAAAAATAGGGCTCCAATGCACCCGGGTTCCAAAGTGACTTTTTGTAGTTGAATTTGCTATGTTTGAATTACATGTTTTTTTTGCATAGTTTGAATTACATGTTTGAAATGAAGTACTAGTTGAAGACTTGAAGTATAGGAAAAGTGTGCACCAGATACGCAACTCTCCCCCGTCTCCCCGTAAAAAAAAAAACTCACTCTCTTGGTCTCTCTTCCCCGAAGCCGTCATGGCTTCCGCTGCCCCCTGCCCTCCGGCCGCCGGCACCACCGTCACCAGAGCCAGCAACAGCAAGCCACCGACCGCCGGATCACACGCCAACCTCCTCCCCGCTTC